GGGGAGGGTGCAGGGGGTGCGCACCCCCCCCCCCTCCCCCTGAGATGACCTGCGGTTTTCTAATACAACTGGTATTCTGCAAAAAAAAAAAACAAACAAACAAACTATGTGGTTTATTGGTGTTGAAGTAGAGCAAGAGACGAGTGCACCCCCTCCTAAACAAAATCCTGGATCCGCCCCTGCGTCCCCACTATCTATCCCCACTGGCTGAAAAACATTTAGATGTAGAAACAATGTTACCGGAAGTACTTTAAAAATTTGATCTTTAACCTGATCGGCCAATCGAACAATAACTTTTTACACAGACCAATCGAGGCACGTACTCAACTTCTGCTACACATCTGGGGAGCCAGAGCAAGGCGCTGGCTCACAGACGGACTTGACCGGAGATCGATTTTTTATCTGTGGCGCTGGCTACCGAAGTATTGTCGCCTTCCGAAAAATAAAATCTATTAACTCTTCAGCAAAATCGGTTCCGATGAATACTTACCTTCAGGTATTCGGATATAGCTGAAAAGAAGTTGCGGGTATGTGCACTTATATAAACCGGCTACCGGATAAGCAAGCATATGTGAGAGCATATTCCTTTTCTATTTGTAGACAAAAAAATGTTGGCAATAAATTCGGCATTTTGAGATTTAAAGCTGAGTCATTAACACATAAGGTTCGGCTAATATACTGGACTTAGAAAGCCTTTAGTAAACTCGCATTTTCTACACACCTGTACAATACACTGCTAAAACGATGATACACTCCAAAAGCCTTAGCTAGGGTGCTTCTGAGCTTTTCAACGTTGATGTTACTCCCGGTGGATCAGATGACAGTGAAGCGAAATGTGTACGAGAGCATTTAGCTCAAACATATTTATGTTCTTACCTTAATAACCTCGGCCATGCACTTTTCAATTTGAACCAGAGTGAAAAAGCTTTCAAAACATCCATTAACGGCATGTTGTTAGTCATACTCGCGATTTGCCGACTGAGCACAAAAAGCCAAAATACAACAACAAAATTCATTTGATAAAATGGTTTCTTAGGATACCAATACACCACCAAAACATAATAATACTCTGGTGAAACATCATGTTTATATTCATATTCGAGCGAATGGTAGGACTCTTTAAGGTTTTTTTACTCATCCTTGGTAATCAGAAAAAATTAACACAAGCTTTCTAATCCAAACTCCTGCTTTCGTCAAATTCTGTTAAAGGGCAGAACAATCACTCATTCCTCCGTGATAATTAGGTGATTTCCCTAACTAGATCGTTATAATCAGTCATGGCAATTGCCGGGGAGGGGGAAGGTACTCCGGATTTCAAGTGACGGGGATGATCGAAGGGAGGCAAAATCGAAACCCCAGAAAAACTCCTTACGGCTTCCAGCAAAACCCATAAAAATCCCTGGGCCAAAAATTAGC